CAGTTGCCCGTATATCACCCCCTCCCTCTTCTCCTCGGTCTCTTCCTTCTCACACCTGTTTGTGAACCAACCTTAAAATCTTTTTGTGAAAGCAAAGCATAGCAGCTGGGGGCTGTTTGTTTCACATACCTTCTGGCTAGTGCCACTCCACAAATGTCCAATTCGCACCTCCATCTTGCCAGTCTTCAGGGAATTTTCTGCTTTTCGTTGCTTTCTTTGTGGACGTTTCTTTTCTATGTGTGGGTGTATGTATGTGGTGGGGTTGGGCTTGGTGGGAAGCAATGTGCTCTTTGGTTTCTGGGTTTAGCTATTGTCATTTGTGATAGGGCAACAACGTTCAGTGGTTACATGGAACCATATTGGCCTTTCTGACAAGAGAATAGACCTGTATGTATTGGAAGCAGTCGTTTGCTACAAGGGAAACTACCAACATCTTATTTGCATCCATGCATAGCAATAATGCAATTAGGACAAACTTCTTAGAAAATTAGATGGAGATGGTAATTAAAGAATTGTGCAGTGCATTTTAATATGATCATAGGGAAGTATTGCTATATTCTCCAACTTTAGAATAAAATGCCCTGGGACCTTTAAATGAAATTCCCTCAAATTTCACTGGTACTAGGGAACTGATTAAAGCAGAAACTACTTGCTTAAGATTTCAGTAGCTCTAAAGCTCACTATATTAAATTTCCCACAATGGAGATTCTTCTTCTAGTGCTGGAATGCAAGATACACAGAGAGGTTTTTCCTGATGCATTGGCATTTTAGCTTAGTTCCCCAAAGCTGAGGAAATCAGGCAGAAGTGCTTCCATATTCTAAGTAGAAGTAGCAGGCACCCCCATTGTGTATTTATTAAAAAGTTATCAGAACTCAGTACCCATCATTCCCATCACCCACCTCCATTTCCAGAGGGAATGAAAAGAGCTCTTGGGTTTGAGCATTATGGACCTAACAGCTGTAGCATTTCCCTTCTATCCTAGCCAAAGGAGAAAGGGTGAGGAGAACTGTCTAAGGTTTGCATAAGGCAACACGGGAATCTGTGCCTGGCTGGGCCCTGAAGTTGCCACCATGAGCCAGGAAATAAGTATTGTGAGTGGCATGTGTCCCTGGAGGACAGAGATTGGTGTTTGTGTTCCACCAGGTGAGCTCCCACACAAGGTCTGAGATTGCCGGAAGCTACACGTGAAAGCAAGGGCTGCGATGGGGAGGATCCTGCACTTGTGCCAGTTGGCTTGGTGGAGTGTGTCTGTCACATTGGCTCAAGCCCTCGTGATTGGACCCTACCCAAAAGGGAGGCCAGGAGAGATTAGCAGATGCCAGCAGTAAGAGGTTGAGAAGTGGGGGATTCCAAAGGTCAGCCAGAGAGTGTGCCATTCACATCAGGGAGTTCTATGAGGAGGTCCCTGTGAGTTTTAAGGGTATCAGGATTTGGTTTAGGTATGGTAAGACATGCAGCCACAGAAATGACTGTTACAAAGAAAGAAGTGTATTAGACTCACAGATCCCTAGAAACAGGAAGCGTGTCATACACGGGGACGCATCGGGTAGCACCAGGGTCAGTCAGAGGCAGAGTGAGTGAGCAAGAGCCTCTGATGCGGTTACCATGGGAAAGAACACATAAAGGAGGCTAAGCAGGTTTAGGATGGACTAGTTTGAATAATTTCAGCAGGGTATAGGAGTTGTCCTTAGTTGACTGGTACCTGGTCTTGGAGCAATTAGGGCAGGAGTGTAAAAGCAGGATAAAGGAAGTGGTGGGATTATGGGCTCTGGATCGGTTAGTTTTGTATTTGAAAGGTGTGCTTCTGGACAAGTTGTTAACTCAAGGAACTGGCTGACCCCTCCAGGGTCAGCAAAGCTCCAAGTGTCAAAGCATCAAGATACAGAAAATAAAAGAGATGAGCACCACCATAGGCACCCATGCCTGAGCTTCAAGAACAAGCTAGTATTTTGATGCTTCCATATTGGGAAGCTCGATGGTGAGCCAGTGTTAGCCAGAGAGAACTACAGCAGCCCCAGGGGCATAAACCTTTGTCCCTCTCCCCAGATGGAGGACAAACAACCTGAATGACAGATACATGGCCAACCCCTCACTCTCAAGGGATGTAGGGTTCTGCTCAAGAAACTGCATTTGGAATAGTAATTCTCAAAATTACTGAGGTTGTTTATTTTAAATCAGATGTGTTCTCACAACTTTCCAGCCTTACTCTACGTATTTATTTATTTGGAGTTATTCTAGTTTCCCAATTTCTTTTTTCTTTTTTTTTTTTCTTACTTTTCATTTTAGTTCTCTTCATCTGGTATGTAATATATCTTGCAAAAAATTTTTCCCCTTTAAGGAAAAATAAAATAAGATAAAAACAGAGAGGGAGGCAAACCATAAGACACCCTTAACTATAAGGAACAAACTGAGGGTTGCTGGAGGGGAGGTGGGTGGGGTGATGGGGTAATTGGGTGATGGACATTAAGGAGGGCACATGATGTAATGAGCACTGGGTGTTATATGCAACTGATGAATCACTAAATTCTACTCTGAAACTAATAATACACTATATGTTAACTAAATTGAATTTAAATTTTTAAAAACTAAAAAAAAAATTATTTTCCCTTTAATAATGATAAAGGCTGGCTTCTTTTTTCATAAGCCCGTACATATCTGAACATCTTTCTGTAGTCTTCACACACGAAATTTTGCCTTGGTTTTGAATTTGAATCAGAACTCTTAATATGGCTACTTTTTTTTTTTTTTTGGTGTAATTTGGTTCTGGAGAGATGAAAAGCTAGAGATTGTTCCTAATGTTTATTTTTTTAGATGATCTGCTTTTCTAACTTGATTCATGTAGAGCTTTTTTTAATATATCCTTTTAACTAAAAAGAAGTTCCTTCCTCATCGATGCCTTAAAGTGAGTCAGCCTTTATTGATTTGGCCTGATAGATGACGACACGTTTAGACCAGCTGGCTCAAATATCTTTTGTCAGGCCAAAAATCTTCTATTTACATTTTGTTTTGTTACTTTTATTTCATTTTCTCTGGTTTTTAATTGGAAAACTTCTGGTATTACTAAATTCACCCTCCTGTTTTCTATATTCACCATTGTAATTTTTTAGTCTTTATGGGTTAAGAATATGTTCAGGTGTAAACCACAGAAAACTGTGGACGGAGCAAGCAGAGTGGTTTGTTTTTTGTTTGTTTTTTAAGATTTTATTTATTTATTTGACAGAGAGAGAGATAGCGAGAGCAGGAACACAAGCAGGGGGAGTGGGAGAGGGAGAAGCAGGCTTCCCGCCAAGCAGGGAGCCCAATGTGGGACTCGATCCCAGGACCCTGGGATCATGACCTGAGCCGAAGGCAGACGCTTAACGACTGAGCCACCCAGGCGCCCGCCTCTTAGTTTTAATGTGGTCGCTGCAACTACAGTCATACCTGCATTCCGAAGAGGAAACAGGGAGGCAGGAACAGAAAGCAAAGGAGGCTTTCTCCCAGTGATGGTTCTGTCTTATTTGGAAAGGATATAGTCCAGGACTATCTCTTTGCCTGTTGGCCAGACATGGTCACATGTCACTGTCAGCTGGTAGGTGCTGGGAAAGGGGGTGTGGGTGGGGTTGGCCAACCACCAGGAGTGCCTGCCCCAACTGCCTTCATGCTCTCTCTCTTCCTCCTGGCAGAGGCTTTCCCATCGGTCCTTTATGTAGCTAAGCCAGTTTTCCAGAACTAATTCTATTATTTTGTGTTTCCAACGCAGATTTTAATTCTGGTGATTTCTCTTTTTGGTTTCCATGACTTTTTTTAATTTTGATTTTATCACCATATATTTTTTGGCATGTCAAGCATCTGCTTTTTTATTTCATTCTGTATGTCAACCTAACTTTTACAACCTTATTCTGCTCTCTCCTTATGATGTTTTGTTGTTATTTTTCTATGCAGGTCATGATTTTGTCTCTCTTATTGAAAATAAGAAGTCTATTTTTTTTTATTTCCTGTACTAAGCCATTTGTGTGATTCCCTCTGAGTCTTTCATACAACACTCTATTTTTCTTACGCCAAAGACTTTTTCCCCCAAAGGCCCCATGTTATTGATTTGTATTTTTTTTTAATTTACTCTTGATTCAGGATGAATCTACATATATAAAACTCACAGATTTCTCTTAACTTGCCTTTGCCCCTGCTCTTAACACCCACTTCGATGCTCGTAGATTACTAGTTCCATTCTCAGATTTCATGTTATGGGTGAATTGATGAATTAGTGACTGGTTTCCCCATCCCCCAGTGCAATTTCCACTATCCATTAGTATTTATCTGTTGGTCCAAGGTAGGAATATCTACACCTCTGCTTCTCAGTTTTCAAGTATGAGAATTCATGTTCACTATGATTGCAGCCATGCCCGACACATGGTTAGATCTCAATATGTACAGCATCACCATCACCATCATCACCAGCATCATTATTAGAGGAAAGACTCAGGTTAATCGTCATCACATACACAAACGTCAAATCCCATGCTGAGATAAACCATTTCATGAGAGCACAGAACAACATAGAACAAAGGAACCAGAGCAGCCGGGTAGAAGGCAGAGGAAGGAGGTGGTTAGGGCTGCAGTGTGTCACAGAAGGTTCACCTGAGGAAGCAATGCTTAAGCTGAGCCGAGAGAGATGATGTATCAATCAGGAATATTTTGTTTGTCATCAGGTTTCTAGCAAATAGCCTTCCATAGAAGGGCAGTGATTGATTCAAGGAATTGAGAAGTCCCGGCCAGATCAGGCTTCAGGCAGGTAATCCATCTCTCCATTATCTGACTCTGCTCTTCTCTGTGTTGATTAATTCTCCCAAAGTCTCCAGAGTTCTCAGAAAGACAAACAGCAGCTCCGTACTAACTCTTTTTTTTTTGAAGGTTTCAAATGTATTTTATTTCTTCAGCTATGCTATATTTTAATGAGCAGCAGAGTGCTTAAATGACAAGTTGATTTTGAAACAATTTTGTATTACAGTACCTTTGATCGTTACTCATTCCACTCTTTTGGAGCGATTCTGCCGACAGGAGATAGGTTCCATTCTATTCCAATCTGTGTGGCTATAAACACCCATGCAACAACACAGAAAGTGGTCCCACTGGCTAGTACAGTGTTACCGTATTCGTCATGGAAATCTTGTGAATGATTTTCGTGGCTCTGTCTTGACCTAATTTGTTGAATGCTTCGAATCTTGAACCTATTTAGTGCATTTCTGGTCAAGGGAAACGTGATGAAGGTGTAACAGGACTGCCGTTGATTGCAGCTGTCAGTCTATTTTTTTGTAAAGAGACCTGGTAAGAACTCTGAAGCCCAGATGCTCTCCTCAGAAAATTCAAGATTCAGGTTCCGGACTTGAGAAAAGAGTGGAAGACATGAGTGAGACCAACGACGCCATAGTACGCATGCAAGATTCTACCCTGTTTGCTACCCTAAGGCTTCATGCAGAGGGAACAAACCCTGCGGAACGACAAAGAACAGTGTCCAGTCTTCATTTTCCTCCCTACTCTGTGTGTGTCTCTCTGCCTTCAGTACCTCCCACAAAGTATCTATTAAGAGTTGTGATCTTTGAATGTTTGTAAAAAAGGAAGTACCAATCCAGCCATGTCTGAACACCCCTGAGCAAGTATGGTGTTTTGCAATCTGTGTATATCCTACGTATCCAAGACAGGGTCAAACAGTGAGGAGAAGCCCTTCCTTTCATGGTACCTGTTCAGTTCCATGGTTTTATGTTAGACAGTAAAATGTCCATGGGACATGGATGTTGTTCAGCAAATCAGCTCAAACAAGCTTTTAAAAAAGTGAAAGGGGAACTAATTAGTTCTGTAGCTAAAGAAAATTCCTCTCAGATTTTAATAAATTGCTGGCTTCAGTTTCTTAGTGTTATGAGGTTTCATCTTTTGTGTGCCATCATGAATTTTTAAATTGAGAGCTATGGGAAACATTTTTCAGGGATGAATAAAATGGCCTGATACCATTTTATCCCTGATGATTGCACAAGATGTATTGGTCATCTCTTGGTGACCAGCTGGAGTGGGGTTGTTTGGAGTGTTGGTTGCTTCTGGAATAGCATAATGCAGGCCAGACTACTACTTGGCATGCGTTCATAGAAGGAGAGTTAATCACTGGATCAACAGAGTAGATTTAGGCTTTCAATGCCCCTCTCACCCTAAAATTCTGTATCTCCATTACTCTATATTTAAGAGAATTAGTAAAACAATGGCCAGTGAATTCTGCCTGTGGATAAATTGCTTGACCTGCATTGTACATGACATGTTCTCTCCAGTTTGCCACTTACTTGGTGAGAAGAGAGAAAGAAAGGATAATTCACAAAACAAAATAATATGTTAAAGTAGGTAAACAAGGAGGCCATTACACGGAATTGGCTCGAATGCTTTGGCAGCCTATATAAGCAAACCAAAACCCACGCCAGAGTTAATTTCTGTAAATGCACTGATATCCGAAAAAGCACTAAGTTTAAGAACAACCAACTTCAAATGGCCATTAAGCTTTCCCAAATAAGACAACCACTTAAGCTATAGCCAATCAGATAACTTTCCTCGCTTTGCTTCCTCCTCTTCTGCATACAGCCTTTTCCCTAGCTTTTGTGCCCCGAATCCTCTTAACTGCTTTTGGTTTGGCACTGCCCAATTCCAGTCCACCTTTGCTCAAATAGACTCTTGAAAATTTCAGTGTGCCTCAGTTTACCTCTTGACAGTTACAAATGAAATTATTGTGCAAAGAATAAAAAGCAGAATCTATAAACTTTCTGCAGGTCACAGCAATTACCAGTTTTTTGTGTGAAAGATTCCACCCAAGCAGGTCCAATTAAAACAGAGACAACTCATCAGAAGGTAGATGGTGTGGAGTCTTTCAAGTCCAAGCAACTGCTTAACAGGGGGCATCAAAGACCCAGTGTCTATGATGTGCTTTGTGAAATACGGAATCTTGCCATTTGACAGCAACAGAGGGACTCAGGGTGGATAGCAATGGTGAATGAGGCTGGAGACACTGGATTCGAAGATCAGATCTGCATAAGGAGCAATGTGGAGTTACATTGCAAACTGTAAATCTCCCTATATAATCTGATATTATTGAATACAGCTGTTCCACCTGATTGATGAAGGAAACTGGGCTCTTTTATTTATTTACTTATTTATTATATTTTATTATGTTATGTTAGAACCTGGGCTCTTTTAATTCTCTCAGGGTAGAAGAAAGAAACAGTGATAGCCTACAGGCTCTTTTTTGTTTATAAATTATATAAAAGTACATTTGTAATGCAAACTAAGGAGGCACAATAATACCTACATGTGTCAGGCACTGGCCAAAAGAATATACATAATTGCTCATTTGGCAGTCACCAAAAAAATGTCAGGCAGAATCATTTTACCTATTTTATAAGGGAGAGACTTAAAATCTCCAACTACATCATTAATTTGCCATCGATAACATAGTAAAGAGCAAGAATGACGGGAAGAGGTATTGTATGTCTGACAAGTGGAAAAATGAAATATGAGCGTTAGAAGGAAACAAAGAGGAAACCAAGAACAAGCGTGGCTTAGAGTATTTTTCTGTATATTTAACTTAGAAACTCAGCAATCTAGAACCCAGAGAATAGACACAGATTTGTTTCTAGTTTTTTATTTACTGATATTTTTGGTGTTGACTCTACATCCTTCAACCCTGAAGATGGATGAGTAAATCAAAAGGAATATCCCCAGGCACGTGGTCACTGTCGCGCAGAGCCAATCCGGTGCGCAGCTGCGGAGTCAAGACCACGTTCCCTTAAGTGATCCTATCAGACCTCATTTTGTTTATCAATAGCAATATCCATGCTTCTTAAATATCAAATATCCCCTATATCCAAGAAGCAAATATCTAATCCAAAACTTAATGCAGATAATTACTGAATCATATATCCCTGGGAAGCAATTATTTTTAAAACAGCCACAGCTTATTTTGATTACATGGACGTTTAGGTTCTCTCTTTGCCATGTTTGACTTCAAAAGAGAGATGGGACAGGCGCCTGGGTGGCTCAGTCGGTTAAGCGACTGCCTTCGGCTCAGGTCATGATCCTGGAGTCCCGGGATCGAGTCCCGCATCGGGCTCCCTGCTCGGCGGGGAGTCTGCTTCTCCCTCTGACCCTCCCCCCTCTCATGCTCTCTCTCTCTCAAATAAATAAATAAAATCTTAAAAAAAAAAAAAAGAATGTTTAGGGCGCCTGGGTGGCTCAGTCGGTTAAGCGACTGCCTTCGGCTCAGGTCATGATCCCGGGGTCCCGGGATCGAGTCCCGCATCGGGCTCCCTGCTCGGCGGGGGGTCTGCTTCTCCCTCTGCCCCTCCCCCCTCTCATGCTCTCTCTATCTCATTCTCTCTCTCAAATAAATAAAATCTTTAAAAAAATAAAAACAAAACAAAAAACAAAAGAGAGATGGGAGGATCAAAAGAGAAACGTAGGACTGGCTTCCTGACAGCGTAAGTGAGATTCTAATAATTCAGGATATGAAGTGAAACCAGAATCACTTAGGATCTTAGTCTTACCTGGAAGATAGGTAAAGATGCCACCGCTGTTTTTAATAATTGGAGAGAGGCCCCGGTATTTTGTTTCGTTTGGTTCTTCCGTTTTCCTTTTTCCTCCGCTGCGGGAGAACGCTATTGTAAGTCGCAAGTGGTGTCAGGACTTGAAGCGTACCTAAACACTGCTGCGCCTTGCACGGGTCCGAAAACTTCACTCTGTCCCAGTTGGGTTTTTTGTTTTGGTTTTTGGTTTTTGTTTTCCATCTGTCAAGCCAGTTCCACAGTGTTCTGTGATCTGCAATCCTGGTGCATAATTTCTTGCACAATTCCAATCAGTAGGGCGTGATGAAGAACGGTAGAGGAAACTATACAGATTAGATCGCACAACTCATAATTTCCAAAGCCCGGGGTGAACTCCCGGCATTATCCCCATATCATTTATTGAACCACTCTTTTTTTTTTTTTAAGATTTCATTTATTTGACAGACACAGCTAGAGAGGGAACACAAGCAGGGGGAGTGGGAGAGGGAGAAGCAGGCTCCCCGCAGAACAGGGAGCCCGATGCGGGGCTCGATCCCAGGACCCTGGGATCATGACCTGAGCTGAAGGCAGTCGCTTAACCAACTGAGCCACCCAGGCGCCCCGAACCACTCTTTCTCTACATTTCCTCTCCTTCCTTCCCCTGTATTACGCACTGTTCCTCACCACTTCCTTTCCTTCTCTGTGTATCTTGTATATTTCTATCCTCCTTTTTGCCTTTCCCCCTTCCTTCCTTCTATTTTTCCACCATCCATCCTTCCCTGTAATGAGCAGACCGATACACATAATTTATCTATATTTAAATTACTGACTGGGGCGCCTCCGTAGCTCAGTTGTTAAAAGTCCCACTCTTGATTTCTGCTCAAGTCGTCATCCCAGGTGGTGGCATGGAAGGATGGAGACTCAGGCTCCCGTCTCCAGGGCAGAGTCTACTTGCCCCATTCCCTCTGCTCCTCCTCCCATTCTCTTTCTCTTTCTCTCTCAAATAAATAAGTAAATAATAAAGTCTTTTTTAAAAAAATAAAATACTGACTTTATTTATGAACTAAGCGTTCTGGTGAGAGAAAGAACCTAATGACTTTTTCCCCCTTGAATTATTTTTCCCCAAGGATGCAGGGCAGTAAGCAGGTGGGGAGGGAAGAGAGAGAGAGAGGAAGAAAATATTAGAACTCAGCAGAATATCATGCACATCTTATACCAGTATTTTAAAAAAATATATGCTATTTAAAATAAAATAGAGTAAAATAAAAAATAAAAATATATACTAGATTTTGGCAGATTTAGGGAGTGTTCAGCGTTCCAGGAACTGTTTTGTGACTGATGATGGCCTAACCTATATATTTTGACCAATTTTCTCTCCATTTGAAATTTTCCACATTTTCTTTTGATTCTTTGTGCTTAGATATTAAGAGTACTTCAGTTTACACCATGATTCAAATTATGCTTTAAGCCACTATGTATTGAAACCATTGGAAACATAAATTAACAGTCATTATTTAACACATGTATTGAGATTTTAACAATACTTGATGCATTAAGGTTAATTTTTCAAACATATGGTAAATTTTTAATTTATGTTTTAATACAAAAGCAATTTATTACAACTAATGAGATTATAAATGTATTTTGTGTACTATTAAATAATTATCAAAATTTGTGTTTTGCTTTTTAATGGACACATTTTCTACATTTAAAACCTCTACATAACAGATGTGTCATTTCACATTAAGTGAAAACTAATCTCTAATATTTTACATTAGTGCTTATTTTGGTATATATATATGAGCATACATATGCCACATGGATATAAGGCTGATATAGATTTTAATTTTTAATCCTAACAAATCATTAAAATTATATATCTTATACATTTTGACAACCATCTTACTCTTATCTAATGCGAGACACAGTTTGAGAGACGTACAAACGAAAGAATGACTACTTTTTTGCTTCCAGTATTTCCTATCAACTAATTGTCAGATATATAAAATTTGGTAAAAGTCCCACTTTTGGCAGTAAATTCCCAAGGGTGCCAAATGCTTTGGAAAGTTTGGTTGTTGTTGTTGTTTTTTAAAGATTTTATCTATTTATTTGAGGGAGAGACAGACAGATAGTGACAGAGATGGCGAGAGAGCTCACAAGCGGGGAGGAGAGGGAGAAGCGGGCTCCTGCTGAGCAAGGAGTCCAACGTAGGGCTCAATCCCAGGACGCTGGGATCGTGACCTGAGCGGAAGGCAGATGCTCAACCGACTGAGCCGCCCAGGCGCCCCAGTTTGGTTCATTTTTGATGTTGCCTCCTAACAATGTGTAGACTGTGTGGTCCCGTTTCTTAGTGTCCCAGGCTTGTTTCTGACCCCTTCAACCGATTCAATGGTGTGCTTCCTTCCAGCTCTTCTCATTCCAAGGCAAGTCCTAGGAAAATACCAGGGTCTGGCCTCTGGCAGCTGGTTCCTTCCTGCCTGTGTCTGAGCGGCTTCAGCACCCAGCCTCATCACCCTCTTTCTTACCTGGGACTCTGCTCCTCGCCCCCTTCCCCGACCCACACGTCTTTCTTCACATCCCTTCCCTGGTGCTAAAAAAATATCACCTAAATACCTCTTCTTTAACTTTAGGTGGCTCCAGACCTGCTCCAGCTTCCTTCATCCCCTGCAGAATTGTCTATTATTATTGTAGTAGTTAACCCAAATGGGGAGCTTAGGCTGCGCCAGTCACTGAGTGCAGTGCTTCCTGAACCTCTGAGGTGGTTGCGCGTGTTACTCCTCTTCTGTAAAGAATAACACTAAGCCTTAGAAGGGCATGCGGTCAGTAAGCACTGGAGCCAGGCTTCAAGCCCAAAAGCAAGATTTTCTCTGTCCTGCTCAATTACTTTCTTAACTATTCTTGGCACTCAACTAAATACACTTTCTTATTAAAAATTTTGTTGATGATAATAATAATTAGAGTAGGCAAACGGTCATAAAAGGTCTCTGAATACCATAAAATATTCCACCAGTGCAGGGTTAAGAAAGTAATAATTTATAGTTTTCAAGCCCTTTTATATCACCTCATTTAACTTATTGTTAGAAAATTATGTTGATTGTTCTAACAATCTGATTAATCGGGAGCATTCGATACAAACTATACACCAGCTCTCAATTTCAAGGAGTTAGAAAAAAACAAAATCTCTAATAGGATTTGCTCTTTCTTTGGTGGGTAAGGAAGATCTGACAGGAACTTAGGATCATGAGCTTGGAATCTACTTAACTGTATTATTGTACAATAAGCATGCATTAATCAGGCAGCACCCATAATCAACATGAAAGAATAAAAACAAGCTTTTATTATTAAAGCATTACTATTGATTTTTATAAACACCAAAATAATATCCCTTCTAGGCCCATTACACAGGTAATAATAACCATTCATTTAATTAATACTGACTCAAAGTGAAAAATTCAATCTGAGTACTTATAACACCCACATTAATATCAAGAAGGTTCATTAGAATTAATACCACAATAAATATAAAATGAATTAGTAATGATTACACCATCATTTTAAAGCATTCTTATTTGTACTCCTGTATTTACTTTAATCACCATCACTCTAAAGAGCAATTAACAAAAGCTGGGCTGGGCATATTTATGTAGGAATAACAAGGCATATAAATGCGACCCATTGCAAGCCACACACATTTTATCTACACTCACGCATCAACACGCCCAACAGTATGGGAGGTGGTAAAATGACATATTCTTTATGGCATTGGTGAGGAAAATAAAACCATTCTGCAGTTTGGCTTCCTCCCTGGTTTTAAACTGTTCATTCCTTCTCAAGAGCTAAGTTCCGATTCAAGATCCTAGCAGGGTACCCAGCACATAGTAGGAAGACCATTAACTCTTGTTGAATAATGTCTTGCCTCATGATACATACTCGTCTGGAAGGACTACTCGTTAACCTTGGGTGTTGAATTGTAATGATGATTACAGAGAATCTGTCATTGATTAGCTAGGTATGCAACCAATACTGGACAGAAGTTCTTTGGTAGGGGGCGAAGGGGTGGAGGAGATAATCTCCTCTGTTTCTGCCAGTTGCCCAGATTGAACTGGGATAAAGAATATAATAAATTACTTCTCTTCTGCAGCATGAGTCATTTGGGAGTAAAATGAAGGAAAGAAACTATGACTCCTTTTTTTTTACATCCTCTCTATTCCCATTCTTTTGTGACTGAATCATGACCTTTTTGGACATTAGGAAACTGGCTCCATAGGAGCAACTCAGATAAAAGAAGGCAAAGAGGAAAAGAAACTACACCAACAAGACTCTCTTTTAATCCTGTTGCTAACAATGGGCATTTCCACCTTGGCTCTTGCAGAATCTTAAGTCCTGATCATATTTGAATTGGGGAAAGCTGAAGAGAATAGTTAAGTTGCTGTTAATTTAAAACATTATTTGTATTCACTCTTAAGTGCTAGGTGGCCAGAAACATGTCACAATGTAATAAAGGGAAAATTTCTCCAAAAGAATGTCACAAAGGCCTTAGCATGTGAGAGGGGGAAATTTGGGTCTGTTTTTGATGGGTGGAAGAGGATGCTTCTATTTGAAAACCTGGTTCTATATGGAATTGACATGCTGCTTAGTGAGTAGATTATCAAAGCTCTGCTCCATACTTAGCCTCTAAGTCATCTGTTTTTACTTTTAGTTTCTTTCATTTTCTGTTCTTTTCACTCCTGTGACTGTTTGTCCCGCAGAGAAGCTAGGGATTTTCTGATTGTGGAGAGAGTAACTGTAAGTGTTTCAAGATACTATGAGCCTTGAAAACCAGAGAAGCAATGAGCAAGCTAGCATTTATTTGAAAGGTAAAACATTAAATCCAGGTAGAGAAACAAAACACAATTTATTATCCTATTGATCACCAAGAGACTAATGCCTTTCCCTTTCCTAAAGACATTTATCCAATAAGCTTTATACACACCACAGCAACAATCTGTAACCCACTTACAGAAGTGTCACTAATACAGCATTAATTACCAACACTATGTGACTTGGAAATGGCTTCCTGGTGAAGTGGTTTATAGAGTTCACAGCTTGGCATAAAACCACATTCCAGTCTTTTCCACCTCCAGCTTGAGGCCATTCTCCAGCCCTGAAAGAGAAAGGAGATAGACTATTCTGAGCAGTGAAGAAGTAAATTCAGTGTTCCTTCCTTTCCGTTCTCAGTGCTCAGTACACACCTCCAGGTAAACACTAATCTGACCTGAGAAGAATCTACCATTTTTGAGCAACTACTTTGTACCAGGAACTTTATATATTTTTAAAAATCTTTATAATAACAACATGTTAGTATACCCATTTACAGGTGAGATTCTATGTAAATAACTCAATAAGCAGATCATACTCAATAAACAGGTTAACATCACTTACGAAAAAGAATAACTTTTAAATGGGTATCCCTACCACACAGAAACAAAGCTCTTTCTATTTAATCATGAAGCTTCATAACTACAAGAAGTTCACAAACTAAAGACTAAAGAGTAAATAACACAGGTGATAAATGACACACGCCACCACCAATCTCATAGAGCCATCCTGTCTGCAAGCACCTGTGGGAAGGTATTTGTAACCACATTGTATCCTAGCCCCCCAAACTCATATGTGAAGTGGGTGTGCTCTTCTTACCATCCTTGTCAAAAACATTTTATTAAACACCAAGTCTAATTATAGAATGCTGTGCTAGGTACTACAGAAGTTTTAAGGCTTTAGCTCTATTATGTGAGAACACAAGACTCTCTTTCTCATTTTGGATCAAGCTATTGCTTCTATTCAATTTGTGTGATAGCTTTTGAGAGCATTCTTGGAGATCATAAAAGTATCTGGGCACTCTGCCACCATCTACTTTGGTCTGTAGCGTGGTGGACGGAGGGTGAGAACAAGGAAAGTGGATAGATAAGAATCTAAGTAGATGGTGCTCTAGTCTAGGGAGAAAGAGAATGTAAAAAGAAATCAAGGGAAGTGGAAGGTCTATCATCATCATCATCATCACCATCATCATCATCATATCTAATTTTTATCTGAGTTTACTGTGTACCAGGCGCAGTGCTAAGGGCTTTATGCACACTATCTAATTAATTCTCACAATAATTTTTTCATTAAGAAACTATTATTCCTCTTACCAGTGAGAAAGCTGAGGGTTAAAGAAGGTTAATATCTAGCTCAAACAAGCTGGCAAGTGGCAAAGTCTGGATTCAGACTCAGGACGTCCGACTCCAGTGCTTGAGCATATGGTCATCATGTGTCAGGAAACAGAAGGAGAAAAAGAGAACCTGCAGTTTGTAAAAAGATGAGACATGAGCCTGTGCTCCTGAGGCCACTGGCAAGATGCGGAGGCAGGAGCTAGGATTCAGGATGAGGCTGGCTCCCCTCAGGAGGGGGGCGCTCCAGGAGCTGTGGCAGCCATGATTGACTCCCTCTCTCTTTTGAGTTGACAATACAACATCAGTGCAGAAAGGACGGGCTATGCAATAAAAGATTTTGGAGCAAAAACATTTTTTAGCAAGCTTTTTATTCAAGTATCACATATACAGAAAAGCAAACAAATCGCATGTGTTTAGTTCAATGAATTTTCACAAAGTGAATGCATGCCTGTGTAACCACACCTTTGTAACCACACCCACATAACACATGTGTGATCTTTGTAACCAAGAAACAAAAGTATTACCAGCCCCCAGTAGACCCCCTCATCTCCAGTCACTGATTCTCTTAAAGTCTGACCACTAATCTGACTTCCAAAAATATAGATTAGTTTTGCCTGTTTTTGAACGCCATAAAAATGGAATCACATTTTAGTTATATATATATAGTCACAGACTTCTTTTTCAATATTGTGTTTGAAAGATTTATTTATGCTATAGTAACTAGCAATAGTTTATTCTATTTGATGTATAGGATCCATTGTATGAGTAGACCATAATTGTTTTATTCAATACACTGTTGATGGATATTTGTGTTACTTACAATGTTTGGTGCAGACTAGGGAGGAGACTTAGAGCTGTCCAAGGTGGGCGGATGACTCCGGTCCATGTGGACATTGTTGTTCCTGGTTCTTGGGCCCATGGACTGCCCAATTTTGTACCAATAAAGCAACAAAAAAACAAGTGGAAATAAGAATTATGAGTGAATGAACTCATATAAATATGAGAAACAATATGAATATAAGAATTACCGATTATTAGACTAATGTTTGGCGAAGAATTTCAACAGACTTCTCCATCCATGAACATCAGGGCACAAGTAAAGAAAATGAAAAAAATAGGAGAAGTAGAAAAATGTACTCTGACCTCCTAAAAAGAAAGTATGCCAACTTACAAATTACTGAGATATTTTAACTTGCCTTTTTATTATTCTAGATTAATAACTTGATTGCACTTTTAAAAAAAATGTATGTTTACTATTAAAAATTCTAATCAATCAGTACTCTAAACCACAAACCTGTTAGCTACAAATTAAAAAGAATTACACAAAAAATACCACTACCCAGAAATAATAATTGTTAACACTAGATGATCACAGGGACCAAAGGAATAATGGGGAATTAGAAAAAAATATTTTTATAAGATGAGATGAAATTATACATGCTACCTTTAAATTAAAAATTATAAAAGTTAAGTTTGTATGATTTAATAGAAAAAAGAAATAAAAATTATAAAAAGGAAAAAAGAAAAAAGAAACTAATGTGACAAAGTAATGCTTAAATTTAAATAAAAAATTTTAATCACCAGGGAAACTACTTTTCAAAAGTCCTTATATGCTTTCAAAAAAAAGATTATGAAAATCATCAAGCTGTTGGGATAATTCTTTTTACTTGCACATTACATTTTAGCTGTTTCTTATGACATATGTGAAGCTAACAGTCAGACTTTTTCCCCACTTCCCCACTTCCTGATGTGGGATAGTTGGATTATTATTTTTAGGCTAACAATTTTACACTTTCAATAACTTTAATAATTTATATTATGTTGTTATAAATAATTATTATTTAGGAATTATTTAAATAATTTATACTTTAGTTTCTAATAATTATAAACAGCTACAGTTCTTTTACCAGTTTCAACATTTATGAACTCTTTTTTTTTCTTTTGTATGATTTAAATATATGTGGGTTAAGGGCGCCTGCGAGCTTGGTTGGTTAAGCGACTGCCTTTGGCTCAGGTCATGATCCTTGAGTCCCAGGATAGAGTCGCACATCGGGCTCCCTGTTCAACAGGGAGTCTGCGTCTCCCTCTGACTCTCCCCCCTCTCATGCTCTCTCTCTATCATTTTCTCTCTCTCAATAAATAAATAAAAATCTTTAAATATATGTGGGTTTTTTCCTTTTTTTTTTCCAAGAGGAGTTCATCGTTTCTCTTTTTCTGAGGTCATGTATGTTGCAGAATATCTATCTATTGCCTTAATGCTTAAATTACATCTTGGCTAATATTTTTTGGTCACACTATTTTTCCTCAAACTGTTTGAGCATTGCTCCCTCACATTCTAACAGTGACTGTGTAGAAATCCCAAATCAGGCTGATCTCCCCCACTTCGTTTAGTTAAAGAATTTTTATGGGTGCTTACAATATCATTTCCCTATTTTTGCCATTCATTTTAATTAACCAGGATGTAGTTCTGTGTCATTTTTTCAGAGTTCCTGAGATGTTGAGTTCTCACTGTGTAGATTCAATGTATCTCTTCATTGCGGGGGAGTTATCTTTCATTCTAATTTTGTATGTTTTTTATGCTCTATTGGGTTATTTATTCTAAAGATATCAATGATATATTATGTTGAATTCTCTTTTTTCATCATATCTTTCAAATCTACTGTTATTGCTTTATTCCTTTTGCCTTTTTCCTTTGTATTCACTGTGATGATCCTAAGAGTTTGTCAGAAAATTGAATATTTTGTAATGAATCCATTTATCTTGCCCTTTCTATCTCATTTCCTTCCTTCCTTCCTTCCTTCCTTCCTTCCTTCCTTCCTTCCTTTCTTCCTTCCTTCCTTTCATGTCTTTGCTTTTCTCTTTAGTTTTGTATATTGGCTTTCGATTGTTTTCTTGCCTCTTCAATTTCCTCATCTCATTCTACTGTTTTACTGATTTTGTCTTTGAACTCTCATTGTATTTCATAGGATGAAGCATATTATGTTTCTTTTACTCTTCTTCATAATGCACATTCTAATATTGCAGGATTTTAATGCTATTTATTATGTTCTTTCCATACTTACCAAGAGAAACCACACTGACTATTAAAGTAAAGATTCTCTGCAGGGCTTTGATAGGGATCTCAAAAGTCTAAAACATACAAATTATATTTTCTCAATAAAATCTTCCTTGTTTCTAGACATTTTTGATAGCTGCTATTTGCTATGACAAAGTATGATAGACTCTTTGTGATTTGTTTCCTATCAGTCTTTACCTGGCCTATTATTTTTTCCTCTAAGTTACAAAGGAGGACAAGACTTGTACTTAATGCAATAAGAGATGGTATAGTACGTGTGCCCATGCACACGGTAAGATGAAGGAAGGCGATGATAAAAATTTCATCTGGACCCCCCCCCGACCAAATGGCTTATGCTAAGATTGACCCCATGTAGTTTGAGTGTAGCCAGTTCTAAGAGGGAATAATTTAGGAACTGTAATCATTAAACTATTAAAAGCAGTTCTGTATCAATTGAAGATTTTCCTGAAATTTTCTTTGGTAAGATTTTGCACCAAAAACAATATTGGTTGACTACTATTTGAGGCTATTTCATGTTACACTTATCAATTCTTCCTCACACAGAAAAAAAAAATTTTTTTTTAACTCAGAGATGCTTGAAATCTTAAGGAATGGAAGCGGTATTCTAAATTTGACTGTGAAATTACTAATGTACAGTAACCTTTCCTGGAGAGTGAGACTAATTCTTTATCACAGCCCTCAATAGGTTTTATTTTAAGGCGCTTAGGATGGCCCATAAGTCCCATGTCAAATCCCATAATATTCCTTTAGCATATTAAGAGATGATGCTTAAAATTCTGAAGTTTTTATAACTGAAGTTAGAATTCTCCCTAATATATATGTGATATATTAGGGAGAATATATGTATGATAATTTTCAGAAAGTAAGTTTTGGTAATGATGGCTGGTGCATCTAGAGAATTTGGCAATTGAGCTGGAGGAATTGTCTGAAGGTACAAGACCACGTGGGGGCTCATGGGACAACTGCCAGTTATTTTACAAACTGGTGGAGGCCTGGTCTTGCTTCCTGGAAAATGCTTTTCCCAATGGCGACTCTGCCTGTGTAGGACATACCCAATCAATGAATTTCAGCTGTCATCATGATTGACATGGATCACTGAACAATTGACTGGACTGTAATGATCAGTATTGATTGTGAATGTGTCTGAAATTAAAATATTGGATATAGTATAGACTATTCATTTTATGAATGTGGAATACAGTTATTGAACCATGAGTCTTTTTTTTTTTTTAAGATTTTATTTATTTATTTGAGACAGAGAGAATGAGAGAGAGAGAGCACATGAGAGGGGGGAGGGTCAGAGGCAGAAGCAGGCTCCCTGCCGAGCAGGGAGCCCGATGCGGGACTCGATCCCGGGACTCCGGGATCATGACCTGAGCCGAAAGCAGTCGCTTAACCAACTGAGCCACCCAGGCGCCCGAACCATGAGTCTTTAATTCCCATGCTGGTCACCTCATCTTATGCAGACCAAAGCATTCACTGTCCTCCATTTTTCTTCTAAAAGAGGCAGAAATTTAAATGGTTTCATAAGAGATATAGATAAGCACCTAGGATTTCTTCAATTCAACATTTTTTAAAAGAGAAAGAAAAATTCACTCTAAAATAATCACAGGCAAATAGTGATGATTCCTACCAGTGTACTGTGTATTTATATATTAAGATATAGATATAGATATAGATATAGATATAGATATAGATGTAGATCCCCTGTGTAAATTCTGTGTTAATTAATATACTCAACTCGTAATTCAGCAGGCATTATGATGTGTCGGGCACTTTCTACATATAGAGATTCAGGCACTTTTCTAGATGCAGAGATAAAATAGTGCCAAGCCTTCTGTTGCTCCCATAGTCTGGTGGGGCTGGGGGAACAGAATTGATGAAATAACCACATCAATAAATGTAAACTTCAGAGGAGTGTAAGTGCATTTTCAGTGAGGTATCTGGTACAGTGACTGTGGAATGGGGGAACTAGCTAAATGAGGCGGGCAGGGTAAAGTTTGCTGAAGAAATGATCATTAGCTGACACATGATATTAGAGTAGGGTTTCACTCGAGAAAAGTAATTAGCTATGCAAAAAAAAGGGCGGGGCTGAAGATGCGAGAATAATCCAGGCAGAGGGAAAAGTGCTTCTGCAGCTAAAATGACACAGAATTTAAAATTTGGAGAAGGTGAGTATGACTAAGGGTAAAAAGGAAGAGCAAGTAAGATGAAACATGAAGCTGGAGGGAAAGGTGAGGACAAACAAATGCAGAGGTTTAGAGTAGAAAGACATATGCCCCAGTAAGTTTAGAACAGTCTCAGTTGATGCCTGTTGTCCGTGTAATTAATAACATACCCTTTCACTCCTAAATGCATTCCAGTGTGCGGAGGAAATTATGTGATCACCCTACTCAAAGGCCTTACTAGGGATTTTGGTCTTTATCCTAACTCCTAACAATGGGAAATATTTAAAATGTTTAAGCAAGTAAGAGACATGGTCACATTTTAGGTTTGAAAAAATCATTGCATAAGGTGGACAAGAGCACATGCAGGGAGTCCAGGTAAGACACTGTTGCAGGAGTTGGGAAAGGGACAGCAGTAATATGAAGAGGGTAATGCAAGAGGAAATAGAATGAATGAATGTGATGGCTTCTTTGATTTCATTGTGCCAGATTTGGTCCCAAATGGAATTTCTGTACAGACCCTGGCATTGATTTATTGGTGCTTCATAGATCTCTGGATGTATTATGCAATTCACTAACAAATGCAGAACAGTCCAGTGCTTGGGGGTTGGTGACACTTGTGATTATTTCACTAGTGGCAAGCGGTACACACATAAGGAAAAGAATTCACTGGGCACCCAT